GCTAAGGTAGATTAATGCCCATCAATAACGCTGCCAGGTACCAACTGCTATTGCTGAAGAATCAACACAAAAATGACCTAACTAGATAATCTATCACAACTAGGTGCTTTTGCTCTCTTGAGTTTTTTTGAGTTTTAGAGAACTAGTCCTTTTAATATGACTTAGAAATTGCTTTTGTCTGGCTTTGATTCACTCTTCTTCCTCTTCCCGTTCCCCTTCACCTTCCTCCATTGTTTCCACAATGGGCTCTGCTGTGCAGGTGGCTTCTCCAAGACTGTTGACAGCCTTGCAGGTGTACTTGGCACCATCATCCCCGCAAACATCACTAATAATTAAAGAGCAGTTCCCGTCCTCATCGTAGTCTATCTGGAAGTGGCAGGACTCCCTGATTGACTGGTCATCTTTGAACCAGACAACCTTGGGGTCCGGGTATCCTTCAATCTTGCAGTCAAATCTAGCAGCACTTCCCTCCACAGCTTCGAAATCACGAATGGTCTTAGAGAAATAGGGTTTTATATGGGGCTTTTCCTCAGCAATGGCCTCAAGGAAAGCTTGGGACACACCTTCTTCAGATTCTAGTTTTTCTGCATTGAGTGGACTGGTTGGTGACCCTGTTGAGGTTTTCCTGCCACTGAGCCCCGAGATCATTACCATAGAGGACAGCCTTCCAATGGCTCTCACAGCATTGCCCGTTTTCTGCCATTTCCTTCTTGCCATGTACTTCTTCATCCGGTCCTTGGAGAGTTTCTTGGCCTCCATGTTCTTGGTATCTTTCATTAGCCATGGATGCTGAAGGCACTGCGTGCAGTCCAGGCGGTTTTTCATATCTTTCTTTAGCAGACTGCTGATGACATCCTTGGCATCATCGGAGATCTCATCGAATGCCTTGTCGTCGAAGTCCCAGGTGGCTGAGGTAACATTGGCCAAGGTTTCATTATCGTTGTCTCCCACGAAGGGGGAAAGGCCACTGACCAGGATGTAGCAGATGACGCTGATGCTCCACATGTCTGTGGCATAGCCAGTGGGCTCATAGTTGATCACTTCAGGAGCCACAAACTCCGGAGTGCCAAAGAGGACCTTCAGAGACCCCGTGTTCTCCAGCCTCCTGGCCAGACCAAAGTCAATGAGCTTGATCCTGGCACCTGTCTTGTTGACACACATGATGTTCTCGGGCTTGAGGTCCAGGTGCACAATGCCCTGCTTGTGGATGTACTCCACCCCCTCCAAGATCTGCCGCATGTACCTGATGCACTCGCGCTCCGTCAGTTCAAAGTCCTCATCAATGATGCGCTCAAACAGCTCATCCCCTGGCACGATCTCCAGGACCATGACAATGTTGGCCTTTTCTTCGAAGGCATCCACACACTGGACCAGCTTGGGGTGGTGGAGGCAGTTCATGATGCCGATTCTCCTGCCGGATATTCTCTTTCTCTTTTGCTGAATATGCTTTGAAGAATTTCCCTGCCCAGACTTTTCGAGTTTTCTTTTCTACAAGTCGAAAGACCTGTCCAAATTTCCCAGATCCTAATCTCTCTTCAATGTCATAGAAGTCAGATACTTTTTGTTCGTTATGACTGTCACCATCCGGTAATCAACCTCAAGCTCCTTCTTATCATCATCTGACACTTCCACTTCATCCTTCGGCTCTTCAGGGTTCTCTCCTACTCTTGTGAGTTCGGACTCCTGGCTTGGCTCACTGGTTCCATATACACTGATTGCACGTACACGGAATTTATACTCATGATCAGGCAGTAGGTCCTGGACGTTGAAAGAGGTGCTGCGGCATGTGGCTAGTTCCTTCCATGTCTTGTTGGCTGAGTCCCAGATCTCGATGCCATAGGACTGTACAGCACTGCCCCCATCATACGAGGAGCCATACCAGGACAGGGTCAGTGAGGAGCTCCGAATGTCAGAGGCACGAGGTGTGTCGGCTGGGGGGTCTGGCTTATCCACGACAGTGAGGTTGACCTAGGCCTGCCTGCTGCCCAGCTTGTTCTCCACCAGCAGTGTGTAGCAGCCGCAGTGCTCCTGGTGCGTGGCCAGGATGGTGAGCTTGCTGCCGTTCTCACTGTTCTCCACCTTCATGTGCTCGCTCTCCTGGATCTGCTTTCGGAACTTCTTCCAGGTACAGGTGATGGACTGGGTGCCGGCCACTTTTCCAAACAGCTCCACTGACTCTCCTGCACGGACCTTCCGGTCCTCAGGAAACTGGATGATCTGAGGGGGCATTGCTGCCTTCAGAGGCGTCTTGGGGGCAGGTTTCTTTTTCACAGTTGCATCACTCTCTGTTCCTAGCACAGGAGGAAGAAAGCTCTTGGGCCTCCGGGATTTCATCTCCCGGGCCTTGGTGTTCTCACTGGCCGGAGCATCATCCACAGTGACTTGGCAGGAGCACTCAGCCTGGCCAGCGTCATTCTTGGCTACACACTTGTATAAGCCTCTGTCCTCAGGCAGTGCCTTCTCGATGGAGACGGAGCAGAGTGAGCCTTCTTGGGAGAGGATGATGAACTTGGTGGTCTTGAGGGTCTTTCCATTCAGCGTCCAGGTGATGGTGGCTGGGGGGTCAGAAGACACCTGGCACTGAAGCAGCAGCTTCTTGCCCTCTGCCACACGAGCATCTTGCAGCTTCTTCTGGAAGTCTGGGGCTGTCCCCTGGCTCTCTGATCTTTTTTCATTATCTGTGATATCTTGGAATTTAGAGACTCTTCCGCCGGGTCAATGGTTTGAACCATTGAGGATTAGACCAGTACACTGAGGAGATTAATTTTAAATTAAATTCAAGGTCTACGCGGAGGAGCTGATCCAGCGGCTGCAGCAGCAGGCACTGTCAGAGCTGGTGCTGGTGCAGAAGACAGCCAGTGGCCAGTGGGCGCACAACCCCTCCGTGCCTGACCTCCAGGCTCAGCCTTCCTCCCCAGGCCTTTTGCACTGAGGATACAGATTCTGGGGGGCCATGAGGGCCACCAGTGGGTGGATCCTGCAACGTCCAGCCTGGAGCCAGCTTGGCAGGGATCCCCAGGAGGCAGTGCTCCTTGTGCCCGTGGGGCCGGGAGCAAGTAAAGCCTGGGCCAGGAAAAAAAAAAAAAAGATACTTGAAATCCTCCAGCCATGGGGAGCCCATCACTCCCAGAGCTGCTTCATCGGTGCTGGATGCTCTGATCATGAGGAAGAGTTTATTTCTGACTGAGGTATAAACTGTTCACCTCTAATATCCCTCCTCAACTCATGGTTCTTTTCTCCCAAGCCAGCACCTACACAGAGCCCTACAAGGTCTGTCCCATCTCATCGGCAGCCCCTAAAGAGGACCTCACGTCGGATGAGGAGCAGAGAAGCTCAGAGGAGGAGGATAGTGCTTCAAGAGACCCCAGCCTCACCCACAAGGTGGAAGGACAGTCCAGAGCCCTTGTCATCGCACAGGAACTGCTATCTTCAGAGAAGGCATACGTGGAGATGCTCCAGCACTTACATCTGGATTTCCATGGAGCTGTCATGAGGGCCTTGGATGACATGGACCATGAAGGCAGAGACACATTGGCCTGGGAGGAGCTGAGGCAGGGCCTGAGTGAACTCCCAGCCATTTACGAACTTCACCAAGGCATCCTGGAGGAGCTGGAGGAAAGGCTGTCAAATAGGGAGAGCCAGCAGAAGGTAGCTGATGTCTTCCTGCCCCGGGAGCAGGGGTTTGATCACCACGCTACTCACATCCTGCAGTTCGACAGGTACCTAGGTCTGCTCAGTGAGAATTGCCTCCACTCTCCCAGGCTGGCAGCTGCTGTCTGTGAATTTGAGCAGAATGTACAAGGAGGTGGCCAGACTGAACCATTGAGGGTTGCCTCAATGAACAAAATGGTTTTTTGTTCAAAATATCCAATGATATTTCTTTTGCTACAATCAAGAGTGGTGATTTCTGCTAAGTCCTGAAGTTTTTTTTTTTTTTTTTGCTTTGAAGTCCCTACAAAAAAACTGACTGTACAATAGCTTTTCACCAGTGGGGAAAATAACAGCAATAATTTGCAATAAAAGAGGAAAACACATTTACAATCACAAAGAGAATTAAAAGAAGCTTGAGAGAGGTCAACTAGTCCAATCCTCCCATTGGGAGATACCTGCCAACCCGTGAAAGGAGGGAATGGGGCCAATATCTTATCATTCTTGGTTATCCACTCCCAGGGTTCACAGTATATGTGTCAGGAAGTTCTTTCTTATGTGTTGCTGGGGTCCCTTTCACTATTGTTTCAAGCTGAGGCATCAATTTTTTTTTTGACAATTATTTAAGACCTTTATTAACAGGTGCTTGCAGTTTGTTGACTTTTTTGAAAAAATCAAGTTGTAAACTTTTATTACAAATTAAAAATGAAGTTCTTAATGAAAGAATGATATAGAAAAACTCAAAATTTGGAAGAGATGATTTCCTCTAAAAATTTTCATTTTTTTTTCAAATGATTTGAAAAAAAATGATTTGAAAAATGAAGGGCATCTTGGCTAAGGTATACCCGTGTAACCCCTGGGCCTGGTCACCTCAGAACTTTCAGTCCTGAGGCGAATCACCATTATGCCTTATGACGTCCCCGTGGAACCGCGGGTTGAGGCCCACACAAGCCCCGTAGCCGTCAGGCCGTGGGACTACACATAAACTCACTCTCTCACTCACTCGTGCCGGGGGTAGGAAGAGAAACTCAAAGTACAGTTACTTAATGAACGGGAGTTTATACGCCAAAGGGCTTATTTGAGATAGACGTTTTAGTAGTGTAAGCCGGGGATCTGGTCCTGCTCTGAGGCAGGGCCCGGGCTGGCAAATGGGGCTTCTGAATACCCACACCTCGGCCGCTGCTGCCGAGATGATCAGAAGGCGTCCTGGACTGCACTACCCAACACCGAGAGGGTTCAGGAAGATGGGGACGTCTCCCTCAGATTCCTGACCCCCGGAAAACCCCTTACTGGGAGAAGACAAGAGTGTAGGGACGTCTCCTCTACACTCAGGTCCTCGGGACGAGGCCGGGGCCTGACCCACGGCGAGACGGGAAGGAGTCCCTGACACGGCCGTGATTACGAGCAGGGAGTCCACGAGGCAAGCAGCGGGAGGGGTTGTGGGCAACAGAAGTCTTACCTTGTGGTGGAGCGGTTCCCTGGTCCGGTTTCCTAAGACCGAAAATCAATTTTTTTTTTTTTCAAGCTCCAGCAACTTTTATTTTCATGAGTGAGCGTTGGAGATCAGCTGTTAGGTTCTGTGCCCATGACACTGACTGCTGCCTGGCACCCACTCTCTATGCAGTCATGAACAGCAACCCCCTCATAGGAGGCTCCAGCCAGAGTCAGGGGCAACCCTGAGCAGCCAAGAATTGCCTAGCTGACTCTAGTTTTTGCCAGTGACCTAGTGTATACTGGGGGATGCAGTTCTTGTGTAGATGGACCAAGCAGTGACTCGGCAGCTCCTTCAGTGCTAATTGTGTGGCAACTGCTTCCTGTGCCCGCTGTTGAAACAGCTCCTGAGATAAGACACAGCCACTCGCCTCCAGCGTCTGTAACCAGGAACCTCCCAGCATCACAGTCACTCTGAGGCCAGGGGGGCTCCCATCCTGCTCAGGGAAAGCAACTGAGTCATACACAATTCCCAGGACGCCTGGATCTTCTGAAGATGGCACCAAGTGTCCAAGTCCCTGGACAGGCAGATGAGCTCCTTGGTACTGCATGTTTACAGACACAGCAGCGATGGCACTCAGGGCACGAGCCAGAGGTGCAGCCTCAGCAGGCAGCAGCTTGCTGAGCACTGAAGCTGGAATGGCTCTAATAGCATGGTCAGCCTCCAGACTGCTGTCCCCTAGAGATACCTTCCAGCGCTCTTCTGCCTGGATGCTGAGCCCACAGACTGGTTGGCCTCTTAGAACAGTGACCCCCCTACTAGTCAGGTGGGTTTCAAGGGCCTGAGGCAACATCTCTAGACCTCCACGAAGTGACCACTGGCTCCAGCGCTCAGCCAAGGCCTGACGAATAAGTGCTGAGTCTGGCTGTGGGGTCCGCCCTGGCCCCAGCAATAGGCCCAGTAATACGGAACGATGGGTTTGCTCAGCTTGGAAGAGACTGGGAAAGCAGGACCTGATGCTGAGCTCACGGCTATTGCCTGCAAACACTCCACGGCAGAGACTGTCCATGGCTAGAGACGCCACCTCAGGTCCAAGGCGGCACTGGGCAAAACTGTGCACAGTCTCATCAGGCTCTTGGCCCCAGGGCTTGGTCAGCTCCCTCAGTCCAGGAGCTGGAAAAACTCGCTTCCCTCTGAATTTTTTTTTTTCTTCTCTCTTTCCTCCTCCCTTGATTTTTCATACAACGAATTCTGTCCTATGAATTCGTATGCCAGATTCAAGTTGAAAGCACTGGAAGGAAAAATGGCAAAGTCTTTGACTGACACTTGACCCCCTTCTCCCTCAGCAGAGGCAGGGAGAGAAGGGCTGCGGGTGGTCAGGGACCTGTGCTGTGTAGAGGGAGGGTGGCTGCGTGGCCGGGAACAAGTCCCTCCCTCCCTGTGCACCTCAGGTGGCCTGTCTGTGACATCAGAAGACTGGACTGATGCCTGTTGACTATATGCCAGGAGTGCTTTCTGCAGATCCATCTTATGATGTGAATTATATCCACTTGACAGGCGAGGAATCTGTGACTGGCCTCAGGAAGCATGTGCCTACTGTCACAAGCCCACAAGTGGCAGGTTCAGGATTTGAACTCACAGCAGTCAAGGGCCTGTGTTCAGAACCCCAGAGTGAGTGTGGCTGGGGCTTCCTGGGGTTTGCTTTCTTGCAGCCTCAGTCCCGTGGTGTGCTGCCGAGGGGTGATAGGCTGAAGGCAACTGACTGAATCAAAACCTGCTATGCCTTGGCTGCTGATACTGTTCAAAATACCACCCCTGCCACCAGGCCAAGCCCAATGGGGGCCAAGGACAAGAGCAACCCTGTCCTCTGCCCTCAGCCCAGCCCTGTTTTGAATTTCACTGCCCTTCTCCCAGCTCAAAAAAAAAATGAGGGGTCTTTTTTTAAATTTATTTTTTATTTTTATTTTTTATTTTTTGAGACGGAGTTTTGCTCTTGTTACCCAGGCTGGAGTGCAATGGCGCGATCTCGGCTCACCGCAACCTCTGCCTCCTGGGTTCAGGCAATTCTCCTGCCTCAACCTCCTGAGTAGCTGGGATTACAGGCATGCGCCACCATGCCCAGCTAATGTTTTTTGTATTTTTAGTAGAGACGGGGTTTCACCATTTTTTTTTTAAGTATAGGTGAAAGCAGAAGAAAATCCACTCCAATATTTAGTTTTCAAGACACAATCCTAAATATTTAACCTCCCCTGCACCAAAAAAAAGAAAAAAAAAAAAACCCTTGTGGCTGGACTGTAATATATACATTAGCTGCTATATACAGTAGACTTAACAAGTCAGTAGTTTAAGCAATCAAGCCACTTCACTGTTCAGTTTCTTTACATCATGAAAACAACACAATATTAACCTCCAAACTTCAAGATAATGTAGAATAATGACAGATGCATATAATTAGCATTTAACTGTCCACAAATGTTTTAGGAAATCCTATCATAGACAGTGTTTCTTATATATAAAACTGGGGGGAAAAAAAAACAAGAATTAAGTCCTTTTGGTGAATATATATAGCAAGGCAATGTTTAGTTCATTTTTATAATGCTGAGTCCTGTAACATGGTGTTTTCATCTTTGAACTTCCAAAAGGCTGTAAAATTGGGTCTTCTCAAATATTTTTAGAATTTCATTTCAGCTATTTCCTTTTTACATTCAGAAGATTGGGTGCAGACACTTTCACTTTGCCAGGAATGTTTCTTGATAAATCTGTGTCCTTTATGCTGCGGAATAAGTCTTTTTCTCTTGCTGTTGCTTCTTTGAAATGCATGAAACTATTCAAGGCTGTTTTTACAGTTTTTCCCTTTTTCTGCACTCCAGGAGTAAGTTTCACTTTATATTTGTAGTTTGTCATGGTGGTGTAAGGGGCACATATTGGAATGGCAAACAATAGTACATCTTCAGGATGTGGCTGGCCTGTCAAAGAATCAAACAGGTTTTCCTCATTTCCCTGTTGATCCAGATCTTGCTCTTCCTTGTCATCATGTGGATCATCTACAGTGAAGTCTTGTAACTCATGAGTAATAACCTCAAGAAATGGCCTTTCTTTCTTAATGTTGTCAGAGACCCTTTCTCCACCTCTGAGTTCCTGGGGCTGTTTCTTCACAGGTTCATCCTTTGTTTTTCCTTTCTTCCCCTTCTTCCCTTTTTCTTCTTTGTTTGAACCTGCGGACCCCAGCAATTTCATGATAAGTTCACGGTCTTCTTCATCCTGGTCTTTGTATTTTTCCTTCATTTTTTTCATTTTACTCTTTTGTCCTCGTTTCATTGGCTGCACAGTTGTAAAATTCTTGCTTGTGTTCTGATGAGTTTCAACGTGCACAGTAATTTCTTTTTCTTTGTCCTTTCCCTCTATCACTTCTAAATCTCCTGAGTCACTTGGAAGTTTTTTCTTTTTCATTTCCCTTCTTTCCTTGGCTGACAAATATCTCCGGCTCTGTGATTTACTGTCACTAGAATTAGAAGATTCCTCTTTTGAAGCCAACTTCTGGAGGGACCTTTGAGGCTGAAGGTGAGACAAGTCAATGGCAGTATCAGGGTAATTTAATGTCTCTTCCCCTTCATCCTTCATTTCACCAACAAGATCCTGATCTTTTCTAACCTCTTCACATTCTCCTTCATCTTCAGAGCTTTCTTCCTGAATGAGTTCCTCATTTAGTTCTTCTCTACCACTCTGAACAGTGATATCCTCTTGGTCAACCTGAGTCATGAGTTCTACGTCTACAGGAGGAGTTTCATGTTCCTCTGTATCCTCCTCACTGCTAGTGTCACCTCCATCTGATTGTTCCATTTCTTCTGATATGAGCTCACTTGTGCAACTTGCCAGTGTCTCCATGTCTTCATCCTGTACTCTGACTTTTCGCTCACCCCGATGTCTCCAAACACAAGACTCATCTACCTTAAAAAGGAAGCTAAATCCCATCATTAGATATGAAGGAGGAAGAAAATTCTTTTTTCCTCTTATCACGATGCTTCCTGTTGTCAAATATTCTCCAGTTGGTGCTGTTTTAGATACCTGATGATGGTACACCCACCAGGCACTAGTGATAACTCATGCATCCCAAGCAGCACTGTAGCAAAGTGCCATTGTGCCAGCTTCAGTCAAGGTCCTTGGGGGAATGGGTTCTCCTGTTGGATTCTTAATTACACAGCTAGTAGCTCCATGAAGATCAGCATGTACATAAATGTCTCCTGGTGTCAAGTATCTTTTCACAATTATTTCATTCTGTTGCTGATCTCATCCACCTATAATTAGATAGTTCTCTGAACTAGTGAACTACAGAAATTTCTCAAACCAATATACTTTTCTTGCTTTTTGAATAGAGGTAACAGACTGAACTTTTAATGTTTGCTTTGCTTTCTGCTGATTTGAATGCCTTCTCAGCAGCTTCAACAGTCTTTTGCGTTTTCTTAACAGCATATCTCTTGTGATCATAATACTTTTTGGCATTGGCATATGCTGACAAGCTGAGATCAACATCTACAAGTAATGGCTTATTTTTCTGAGGCTTCTGCAGCTGTTTATTCTTTTGCTTTTTCTTTTTTCCTTTTGGTGGTTCGGTTTCATTTTTCTCAACACCGACGTCACCATCAACATCATCATCTTCCTCCTCTGATAACAAGTGTGGATTTCTTAGCAGCATTGTACCATGATTTGTTTGTAGTTTTAATTCTTTGATTGCACTTGCAACAGGGTCTCCTTGAGCTTGGGCTTCTTTCACAATTAACCCAATTTCTGTCCAATCTATTTGGCTAGCTAAAGCACTTCGAACTACCTGAATGGCTCTGTCAACTATTTGTAGGTTCATTTCTATGAGCTCTCCTTTCAGTTTGTCTATTTCCTGAGTCTGCTGAAGGGCTTCCAATCTGTTTTCATGATCCTTTCGACATTATCTAATTTCTTCAATGCTTGCTTTTCCTGTTGTAAAGCTTTTAAGTCAATTTTCTGGCCTTCTATCTTGGAATAAAACTCATCCACAGCCTTGTCAAATGATTCAAATTCTATATATGGACATTGTCAATGTTGAGAAAACAAGAAAGGATGAAATTCCTCATACATGAGTATGTCTTCGACTGGTTTATCTGCTTCCAGATTTGGCTTTCTTTCTCTTTTCTGAATGATATATCACTTCCCACTGAAGGTGGATGTTGTTTTCATATAGTCTTCTGCTTTCTGCAGACAAACAAGTATTTTTTCAATATCTTTAGTTTCAAGTTTTTCATCCACTTTCACATTACCCGAGAATCCATTTTCTGTAAGACAGTGTTCAATGAGAGCTGGTCCATAGGGAAGCAATGGGTTAAGCACTCTCTTCAGTAGTTCACCCTTAGGTGCGCGGGCTATTATTTCAGTCAATCTTTCCAAAGTAAGCAAAGGTTCAGCAGCTCTAGCATGATCAAGTAGATTGCGTTCACCAACAGCAAATTTAACATCATCTGCCTCATCAGTTCGAAACCTTAGAATATTTAAAATTATGTACTCGTAATCTGTAAGAACAATGTTCCCCCTATCATAGAGCTCAATGATTAAATGATAAGCAGCTTCATCACTTCCAAATTGAAAATCTACAATTCTATCCACACCAAGTTGTTTCTCACTGACTAATCTCCGACTCTTCAAATGTTTTCGGCACTTCATGGCAAAACTAGACGGCATCATATTCTTAGGCCACTCAAATTCTGTCGTATGAATTCGTATGTCCCTGCATGTCATTGAAAAAATTTGTGCCTGTATCATTTATTTGGAATTCTGTATCATTTTTGATAATTTAAAAATTTCCGTGATTTTTTTTTTTAGGAGGTCTGTCTATGCTGGTTCATTTCACCTAGACCTTTTCCTCATTTCACCTCCTCAAATTAGGAAAATGAATTTCCTTTCTTGTATCAAGAAGACCCTTGATTTGTCCCTGCAAGACATTGGGTGGGTGGGGACTTGTCCCTCGGGGGCCACCTTCATGTCCTTGCCAGGGGTCGTCCTGCTGTGGCCTGGGTTGCATTTCAATACAACTCCAGCCTGGAATGAGAAGGGTCCCAGGTTTCATGTCCAAGACCCAGAAAGGCGGAATCCCCCAAATCGACTGCAGGAGGTTTTTGGTTCCCCCTTTTGTTCCAGAACCTTCCTGCCTCTCGCTTCGGGACAGGGGGCCTTTGGGTGGCACTGGTGTGCACTGGGACCCAGCCCCAGCCTGGCAGGATTCAGGGATGGGGGCCTGGGGGCCTGGGGGGAGGGAAGCGGGGACGCTCTTCTGGAGCTCTCCACGGCTGCCGTCCCTGGCCTCAAACCCTCCTCCGGCAGCGTTAGTGAGATGCCTTAGTCTGTAGGGGCGGGTGGGGGACTGGGGCCCCATTTTCCTTTGCGTGTCTTGGTGGGCCCCGCCCTGGCAGGGGCCTGTCTGCAGCAGGGTCGGGTAGGGCTATGAGTTCCAGAACTCTGTTCCCAGGGCCCTCTCCAGTGTCCAGGGGCCTGGAGAGACCTGCGTCCACTCCTCCACTCCCCCAGGAATCACTGGGACCTGGTTCCTGCCTTTGCGGGGGAGGTGGCTTCAAGGGACGTGTGCTTTCTGTGGGTGGCCCTCCTCCGCCCTGCCTGGGCTCATCCTTGTATTTAATTAATTAAACAAGCCCTTTTTTAAACCTTTAAAAAAAAAAAAAAAAGGTCTCCCCTCCAAGCCATCCCTGGCCTCCCCGTACCTGCCTGAGGGGACCTCCAAACCACTGTCCGACAAGCCCATCAAAGCACTGGTGTACATGCCACACCCCGAGTCCCTCTCAAAACCATCTCCCTGTCTGGTGGGGGAGGCAACGAAACCGTCAGCCCCATCCGAGGGGTCCCCGAAGGCCGTGGCTTCGTCCCCAGCAGCCACCAACTCCGAGGTGAAAATGACCAGCTTTGCGGAACGCAAGAAACAGCTGGTGAAGGCAGAGGCTGAGGCTGGAGCAGGGTCCCCCACGTCCACTCCGGCCCCGCCGAAGGCCCTGAGTTCAGAGATGAGTGAGCTTGGTGCCCAGCTGGAGGAGAAACGCAGAGCCATTGAGGCTCAGAAGCGACGGATTGAGGTCATCTTCGGCAAGCACCGCCAGCAGCTGGGCAAAAGCGCCTTCCTACAGGTGCAGCCAAAGGAGGCTTCTGGGGAGGCGGAGGCCGAGGCCGACCCAGGCCCAGTCCCTGGTGGGGAACGGCCGGCGGGCGAGGGCCAGGGTGAGCCAACTTCACGGCCCAAGGCAGTGACCTTCTCGCCAGACCTGGGTCCACTGCCCCCCGAGGGGCTGGGGGAATACAATCGAGCGGTCAGCAAGCTGAGTGCTGCTTTGAGCTCGCTGCAGCGGGACATGCAGAGGCTCACGGACCAGCAGCAGCGGCTCCTGGCCCCGCCGGAGGCCCCTGGACCCGCCCCGCCCCCTGCTGCATGGATCATCCCTGGCCCCACGACGACGGGGCCAAAAGCTTTGTCCCCCAGCCCCGCCCGGCGAGTCCCGGCCACTCGGCGCAGCCCTGGACCCGGGCCCAGCCAGTCACCCCAAAGCCCGAAACACACCCAGCCGGCGGAGCTGCGGCTGGCGCCCCTGACCAGGATGCTCACACCACCCCACGACGTAGACAGCCTCCCCCACCTGCGCAAGTTCTCCCAGAGCCAGGTGCCTGTGCAGACGCACTCCTCCATCCTCCTGGCAGAGGGGATGCCCCACGATGAGCCAGCCGCCCGGCCCGGCCTCATCGAGATCCCGCTGGGCAGCCTGGCAGATCCCGCCGCTGAGGAAGAGGGAGACGGGAGTCCCCCTGATGCTGAGGATTCCTTGGAAGAGGAGGCGTCTTCAGAGGGGGAGCCCCGAGCAGGGCTGGGGTTCTTCTACAAGGATGAAGACAAGCCTGAGGACGAGATGGCTCAAAAGCGGGCCAGCCTGCTGGAGCGGCAGCAGCGGCCAGCAGAGGAGGCGCAAGCAGTGGCAGGAAGCGGAGAAGGAACCGCGGAGGGAGGAGGCCGCGAGGCTGGCCCATGAGGAGGCCCCTGGCCCAGCACCAGCCGTGTCCACAGTCCCTGCAGCCCCCATGGCTACCCCGGCACCTGCTGCCCGGGCTCCAGCCTAGGAGGAGGTGGGCCCCCGGCGGGGGGACTTCACGCGGCTGGAGTACGAGCGCCGGGCCCAGCTGAAGCTGATGGGCGACCTTGATAAGGTGCTGCGGCCCCGGGCTGCGGGGTCCGGGGGCCCGGGTCGGGGCGGGCGGAGGGCGCCCCGGCCTCGCTCAGGTTGCTGTGACGACTCGGCTCTGGCGCGAAGCCCAGCACGCGGCCTGCTGGGCTCTCGGCTGAGCAAAATCTATTCCCAGTCCACCCTGTCACTGTCCACTGTGGCCAACGAGGCCCCCAATAACCTCGGGGTGAAGAGGCCCACGTCTCGGGCTCCCTCCCCATCGGGCCTCATGTCCCCAAGCCGCCTGCCTGGGAGCCGTGAACGGGACTGGGAGAATGGCAGCAATGCCTCCTCCCCAGCTTCGGTGCCTGAGTACACAGGTCCACGGCTGTGCAAGGAGCCTAGTGCCAAGTCCAACAAGTTCATCATCCACAACGCCCTGTCACACTGCTGCCTGGCAGGAAAGGTGAACAAACCGCAGAAGAACCGCATTCTGGAGGAAATTGAGAAAAGCAAGGCCAACCACTTCCTGATCCTCTTTCGTGACTCGAGCTGCCAGTTCCGGGCGCTCTACACACTGTCAGGGGAGACGGAGGAGCTGTCGCGGCTGGCGGGCTTCGGGCCCCGGACCGTCACACCCGCCTTGGTGGAAGGCATCTACAAGTACAACTCGGACCGCAAGCGCTTCACCCAGATCCCCGCCAAGACCATGTCCATGAGCGTTGATGCCTTCACCATCCAGGGACACCTCTGGCAGGGCAAGAAACCCACCACTCCCAAGAAGGGCGGCAGCACCCCAAATAGCCCCACTCGGCGCTGGGCCCCGTGTGCTGCGGCCGCCGCCTCCCAGAGGACAGTGAGTGGGTATTCCTGGGTCCTGTCTGTCCCCAGCTGTGTCTGGGTGGGGCTGGAGCCTCCACCCTCTGACTTTGAGTCCAGTCCTGCTGTGGGGGCTGAGCTGGGAGGTTCAGGGACTCAGGGCTCAGCGGGCTCAGCTCAGTCCCCTTGTCTGTCCTCCCCCACTTCTTGAATAAAATAATTTAAAGAGAAAAAAAAAATGAAAAAAGCTTCCTTTTTTTTTTTTTTTTTTTTTTTTTTTTTTTTTTTTTTTTTTTTTTTTTTTTTTTTTTTTTTTAGGTTTGGCACATACATTTTATTTGACTTTCCCATTGACACATTCAGGAAAGTGGAGGCCGCCTTAAAGCAAAGCCTGGCTCCCTCCTCCACCCCGGGCTCAGGAGCACTGTACAGGCTCCGGCTGGCACGCACTGCAGGAAACTGTCCCGGGTCTAAGCGGCCCTGGCTGTGGACGGCATCTGAAACGGTCACTGTGGCTCTCCCTGCACCAGGGCCTACCTCATTGCCAGGAAGCGGCGCTGCTGGAGGCTACCTGGGCCCCGGGTTTTATTGCTGGTGAACTTGGTCACCCACCTTCCAGTCATATGGTCCAGGATGGTGGCGTGATCAGAATGGCTCTGGTGGTGCCCATTTTGCTGAGATGAAAGGAATTGATATGTGTAAACTACACTGAATTCTGTGATGCTGGCAAGTTGCCCCTGCTAGTCTTCAGCCCCAAGGGGAGAGCTCCCTGGAGGAGACAGCTGGAGACTCACTGCTGACCACCCAGGCAAGGCAAGTCAGAACTGATGTGCCCGAATCTAAAGTATCCTGAGCTCCAAGCCTAAGCAGCCCTCCCATTCCTGGGCCATGTTCCTTGTAAGGCCCCCAAAGACATCCCCTTCTCAGCGGTATTCTCACACCCCTCTGCAAAAAATCAGATGACATCCCTGCTACTGAACCCCCACAACTGCCTGGCAGATGTCCAGAGTCAGATCACACAGCATGGATTCCTTTCCATGGTCACTGTTACTATATCGAGTCCTCATATACATGGAACTGGGGCCAAGCTTCTCTGGATTGTCTTCCAATGGGTTCCTCCCTGGCTTCCATTGAAAGTGCTGCAGAATCCAGTTTTCTGTCATATCGGATTGAGCCACTTAAAAGTAAAACCGATTTTTGGATAGGAATTTTCAGAAATATTCAAGGAACATGGCTGTGGATAAATAACAGTCCAGTTTCTTTTGTCAACTGGAACACAGGAGATCCCTCCATTGAACGGAATGACCGTGTAGGTTTACAGGCATCTTCTGGGTTTTGGAGTAATGCTCACTGCTCTTCCTACAAGGGATTCATTTGTAAAAGGCCAAAAATTATTGATGCCAAACCTACTCATGAATTACTTACAACAAAAGCTGACCCAAGAAAGATACATCCTTCCAAACCATCTTCCAACGTGGCCAGAGTAATCATTGTGATCCTCCTGGTTTTAATGGGTGCGGGCCTTGCTGCCTATTTCTTTTACAAGAAAAGACGTGTGCAGCTACCTCAAGAGGGCGCCTTTGAAAACACTCTGTATTTTAACAGTCAGTCAAGCCCAGGAACTAGTGACAGGAAAAATCTCGTGGGCAACATTGAACAGAATGAACACGTGCTCATCTAGTATCTCAGTGTGATTCTGAGATGCTTGAATTTCATAAAATTGTAACTGAAATTTAAAATGTTTTGTTCGATGTGATTGTTTCCTTTAAAATGAACACTGAATTGTACTGGTCTGTCCTTTTTTTCTTTGCCTAATTGAAGAAATAATTGCTTGTTTTCTAGCCTGGCAAGATGTTTTCACAAAAGAGGAATAATAATGCTGATTACTACCTTTTAAAATATCTTAGGTAAATACACAGCACTACAGCACCAAAATCTAAGCATTAGTGATGTGTAGCTGATGGCAGCTTCCTGTGTTTTTTAAGAACTCTAGAAACAATGAAGCTTCTTGGCATATTTTAAGGTGCCCCCAAAGATGTGTTGCTATTAAATTGTAACTCAGCAAGTAGAAGACCATTTGAAAAATCAGGTACAAATAGCCTCAAGTAGCATAAAAATGTCGTTAGTTTTCTCTTCTATCAGTTTTTATTTCCATTCCAATTACTTAGAATCTTATTTGTACATGTGCAGAAGAATAAGGCAGCAGAGAATCTTGTTTCCTCCAAGAGAGTTTTACAGGCTGAGTGTTCCAAATGTGTTCTTTGTCCTGATATATGTATATCAGAAATACAAGGATGTGAAATAAAAATGTAAATTTGCATAACTGGATGTACTTAGATAATGTGAAATAAACATTAAAGACAAGGTCAAAAAAAATTTTTTTTCATGCAGTTGAAACTCCTCAAAAGGGGCTCCATCTTTTTGCAAGAATAAACATTTATACTAGAGTATATTAAAGGCAAGTACAAAGTGCTATATGAACGCAGAGGGACACGTAAAGACTTGCAAGATACTCAGTCTAGCTGAAGATGGACCTTGGTTATAAGACCAGATCCTAAGTTTAGCATCTTGGATCTTAGGGATTTTCAATAAGTCATGGTCTCCTAGCTTTGTGAGTTCTGAATACATAGAAAACTTAATACACGCCTGAGGCTGGTGTGTCAAGAGGACATTGAGAAGATGAGAAATGCCTGAGCTGACTCTTAATGATACAGTAAAGAAGGTAGACAGGCAAATGGATATTAAGGAACAGCTCCTCAGTCACAAAAATAAAACTTGTATTTATATACTTGCAAGATATTCAGCCTAGCTGGAAGCAGTTGTTGAAGGGAGTGTTAAAATGAAGTTAAAACGAGTTAGTTTACAATTAATAGGTAAGAAATGTAGGGATTTGACAAACACACATACCTACCCTAAATCAGTCCTATCCCATGAGAATTGCCATAAGACTAGTCAAGAGCATTTGGGTAGGGACAGACTTACTGGGCTTCGCCAAAGGGACACCTTGGCGAGGGCTGATGGCTAGCAGTGTTTCCTTAAGAGAGAACTTCTGAAGATGCTCCAGCCCTGCCCTTCAGGGATTAGGGTTGAATTCCTAGCCTCAGCTAAAGGGAACGAAGAAAATAAATTCCTTCCACTCTCTCCCAATTCTAACAACAGTCCAGATTTTCTTCAACAACAAAAGAATGATTTATTTGCAACAAAACCCAGTCCCATCATTTAAATACAGTATAGGAGTAGAAAGGAGTCAAATTGCAAGCATCGTTTACTTCAGGATCTGGACCTGGGTCCAGATCCAAACTGAACACATAAAACAGGCAAGCCCAGAATAAAGTCAGCTCCAGGCCTTGGCAGGTTTCACCCTCATCCCATAGTCCTTCCATCACAGCCTTGTAATCCCCTGCACCCCCAATCAGGCCAACTCCTAGCCTCTGAGCCACCTGGGAACTTTCTTTATGTGGTAATTTACAGGGTTTTAAGCATCACATGAGGAAAATGCCCTGAACTCAATTGTTCCATGGAATACTTAAAATAATTCCCCCATTCATAATACTAATCAGCAATGACAGGTTTTCTCTTCTTCACCATAAATGCAGGTTTTGAAGTAGATTGTCATCTCAGACAGTTTCTTACTGTAGTTTCCTTATGGGCTTCCTTAAAGGCTACTGTACTCAGTTAGGACAGAAAAGAATCCCGGGTACTTTTCCCAGATTCAGGGGCTAAGAGGAAAAGCCCTGCTGGTTTAGAAAAAGATTTCCTTCCTTCTATTCCCTCAAAAGATTTCTATGAAGACTGTTACCTGAAAATTATCCAGCCTGTCTGAGAAAAGTTTAGAAGGCAGTGCAAACAGAGAAGCAGGAAATTTATCTGATTAGCTACTAGTAGTTTCTAGGACATAGGAGGCAAGAAGAGGGGTATAAAATCCCAAGCTATTTTCACCACCTCTAATCTTCTAGTGTTTCAGAGAATATGGGCACTGGGAATAACCCTCCTTTCCCAGCCTAGGAAAGGTTGGACAATTTCTGAAGTTCTACCACTACAGACTGCTGACTTTGACAAAGCCCCAAGGAAAACAAAATAGAGTACATCTTATCCAAGCATTAAGGGCTCTGACTAGCGGTCAAACTGTACTGATTCATGCTAGGAGACTGGTATCAGAACTGTTTCCACAAAGTGGGGGAAGAGACTTAAGTAACAAGGCAAGAAATACAACCTACAGATTGGTGCAGGATCACTTGCAGTTTTAACATTGATATTTTAAACTCTCCTCCAATTTCCTGGGAAACCCGAGCTATCTGTGCTTTGGCTGTCATTGGCTACTTTAAAAGGATGATTTTTCCAATGTTATTGGAAAAATTTCATTTTCCTAAGACCACCCGGCTTAGGGTGGAGGAATCAGTTTCCCCCAGGAGGGGTCTTACAACTACTCCCGGGTTTCCAGCACCAAATGTAAGGGTTAATGCCGAGTTTATTTTTTAATAAACTTTAAGGGCGTTCTGCAGCGACCCAGCTATAAGTTCTTCAAGTCTCCGGACGAAGATTTCGGAGTGGTGAAGGAGGAGATCTCGGATGACAATGCTAAGCTGCCCTGCTTCAATGGCCGGGTGGTGTCCTGGCTGGTGTCCGCTGAGGGCTCACACCCAGACCCAGCCCCCTTCTGTGCTGACAGCCCATCGAAGCTGCCACCACCTATGGAGCGCACTGGAGGCATCGGGGACTCCCGACCACCATCCTTCCACCCTCATGCCAGTGGGGGCAGCCAGGAAAACCTGGACAATGACACAGAAACGGACTCCTTGGTGTGTGCCCAGCGAGAGCGTCCACGCCGGAGGGATGGCCCAGAGCATGCAGCCCGGCTCAACGGAACTGCAAAAGGGGAGCCGCAGCGAGAGCCAGGCGGTTACGACAGCTCGTCCACCCTCGTGAGCAGCGAGCTGGAGACCACCAGCTTCTTTGACTCAGATGAGGATGACTCCACCAGCAGGTTCAGCAGCTCCACAGAGCAGAGCAGCGCCTCACGCCTGATGAGAAGACACAAGCGGCGGCCGCGGAAGCAGAAGGTTTCCCGGATTGAGCGGTCCTCATCCTTCAGCAGCATCACGGACTCCACCGTGTCACTCAACATCATCACGGTCACTCTCAACATGGAAAAATATAACTTCTTGGGCATCTCCATTGTGGGCCAAAGCAACGAGCGTGGAGACGGCGGCATCTACATTGGCTCTATCATGAAGGGTGGGGCCGTGGCTGCTGACGGGCGCATCGAGCCAGGAGATATGCTGTTACAGGTAAACGAGATCAACTTTGAGAACATGAGTAATGACGACGCAGTCCGGGTACTGCGGGAGATTGTGCACAAACCGGGGCCCATCACCCTTACTGTAGCCAAGTGCTGGGACCCAAGTCCACGTGGTTGCTTCACGTTGCCCAGGAGCGAGCCCATCCGGCCCATTGACCCTGCGGCCTGGGTCTCCCACACTGCAGCCATGACGGGCACCTTCCCTGCATACCGCATGAGCCCCTCCCTGAGCACCATCACCTCCACCAGCTCCTCCATCACCAGTTCTATCCCTGACACAGAGCGCCTAGACGACTTCCACCTGTCCATCCACAGTGACATGGCTGCCATCTTAAAAGCCATGGCCTCCCCTGAATCAGGGTTGGAGGTCCGTGACCGCATGTGGCTCAAGATTACCATCCCTAACGCTTTCATCGGCTTGGATGTGGTGGACTGGCTGTACCACAATGTGGAAGGCTTCACGGACCGGAGGGAGGCCCGCAAGTATGCCAGCAACCCGCTGAAAGCTGGCTTCATCCGCCACACCGTCAACAAGATCACCTTCTCCGAGCAGTGCTACTACATCTTTGGCGACCTCTGCGGCAACATGGCCAACCTGTCTCTCCACAATCACGATGGCTCCAGTGGTGCCTCTGACCAGGACACGCTGGCCCCTTTGCCGCACCCAGGGGCCGCCCCGTGGCCCATGGCTTTCCTGTACCAGTACCCGCCACCCCCGCACCCCTACAACCAGCACCCAGGTTTCCCAGAGCTGGGCTACAGCTACAGCGGGGGCAGTGCCAGCAGTCAGCACAGCAAAGGCCGTTGGAGCAGTGGCTCCAACCATAGCGGCAGTGATCGGAGGAAAGAGAAGGACCCGAAGGCCGGGGACTCCAATTCAAGGGGCAGCGGCAGCGAATCGGACCACACGACACACAGCAGCCCGCGGGGGCCGCGGGAGCGGGCGCCCAGCGAGCGCTCAGGCCCGGCGGCCAGTGAACACAGCCACCGCAGCCACCATCCTCTGGCCAGCAGCCTTCTCAGCCACCACACACACCCGAGCTATGGTCCTCCCGGCGTGCCCCCTCTCTACGGCCCCCCATGCTGATGATGCCCCCACCGCCCACGGCCATGGGGCCCCCAGGAGCCCCTCCGGGCCGCGACCTGGCCTCAGTGCCCCGGAACTGACCGCCAGCAGACAGTCCTTCCTCATGGCCATGGGAAACCCCAGTGAGTTCTTTGTGGATGTGATGTGAGCAGGGCCCCTCCCCACCTCCATTCCGCTCCCACCCTAGCCAGCTGCGTTCCTCTCCATCCGTCCGTCTTTTTTACTTTGTTTGGTACCTGAAAGGGAAAAAAACGGAACTAAATCAAAAAAAAAAAAAAGAAAAAGAAAAAGTCTTCTGGACTTTGAGAGGAATCAGGGAGTGCGAGCGAGGATACTTTGACATTGTTTAGATCACAGAAAGTGTTTCACTGTTAAACGTAAAACGAGCAAGCAAACACCAATACTCCGCGTTCAAGAAGGTTGGAGACACAGAAGAGGGGAGGGATTGGAGGGAGGTTCCACAGCAGCGGCTGTGCCTCGTTGCTCCACAGTGAGGGAGCCAAGGAGGGCTTAGAATGTTTGTGGTTTCCATGGCGACAGCCCAGCCCGGGCAGCTGGAGGGAAGGAAGCAATGGCCCAGGGGCAGGAGCCTGAAAGTAAGTGGCCTGGAGCGACTTCTGTTGGCTTGTGATATTTGCTTGATGTTCGGTTGTGGAGGGAGGGGCTTCTGAAGACTGATTTGAAATGTGAAAACCTTTTTCTGGTGGCTGCCCGCGGGCTCCATGGTCTTGAGGGATGAGGATTAGATTGGGGTTGTGCTGCCTTCTCAGAGAATCTAAAACCAGCATGCAAAGTACAAAGGTGAGGGGTGAGTGCCATGTGGGTGTGTGTCAGCCATCCAGTGTGGACCTGCACAGATGCACAGTGTGTTGGAGTCTCTGGACACCTGAGGAGGAGGACGGACGAAGCAGCAGGTTTCAGGCTGTTAGTTCAGAGTGTGATCTTAAAAAGCCACACTTGAGAGCATTTCCCGGCATGCTGCCCTTCCGCACTCCTCTAAATGACCACAAAGCTCAGCGCGTCACAGGCGTCAAGTCAGAAGTGCTTTGCCGTCTCTGATTTTATTTAGTATCCATGGCCCTGAAAGCTGCGGCTATCAATGTGATTTTACTAAGGGGAGTCTCTGGGGAGGTCAGCCCAGGTCTTTTAACTTCAAAGCCTTTGCTTTTCCCACCACCACCCGCCCTGTGCTGGCACTAAAACAGGATTACTGACTGCTTCAGACAAAATTTGGGCAGAGAGAAAGCTTGCTGGACTGAGCAAAGCAGTCTTGACTTGATTTAAAAGAAATTTTAAATCAAGAAAAATTTTAAAAAGAAATTTTAAATTCTTGATTTAAAAGAAATTTTATTGTATGATGTCAGAATACATTTAGTGCTCTTTATGTGCAGGTGAGTGGGCGGGTTGAGAGCATGGGCCTTGGAGGCAGCTGACCATCTGACACCCATGCCTCAGTTTCCTCATCTGTAAAGGAGGCGGGGATGGCGCCTACCTCCCAGGCTGCCGTGCAGATTGAATCAGTATCCCACACATCTGCTGTGACATAGGCAGTGGGAATTATTTTGAAAAGGGGCCTTTCAGTCCTTGGGGAGTTGTCTTTTTCTTCTTTGTATACAGAGAGCTGAGGCTCTCACCAGGCTGAACTCGATGGGAAGGTCAGCTCTGCTGCTTTGTAGGGGCTCTGGGGAAGAACCTCTTCCAGGCCCAGTGGACTTGCTGGCTTGACCCTGTCCTTGTGGTGGGGGACTTGCCGTTTGTCAGGAGGGGCCCTGGCTCTAAGAAGCCTCCTTCCGTCTGGCCTGTGGCTTCCACCCGGGATCCAGTGAGCCTGGAAGCTTCCTCTCCTTGCAACCTCCCTGACTCCCTTTCTTCCACCTCCCCCTTCTGACTCTTGCCAGGGAAAGTTCTCTGCTTTTAGGGGCTCATGTAATTAGATTAGAGCCTTGACCATCCAGACACAGCTCTTTATTTTAAGGCCCATGACCTGAATTAAACCTGTAAAGACCTCTTGCCCTGGTCTGGCGTCAGGGTGGATAGCTCTGAGTCCCATCATTCTGCTTCCACATTTCACCCTAAGATAGAGTCCACATGAGGCATGTGCTTCTCCTCTGGGCTCAGGTCTGTATCTTACCCCAGCCCGGGGTCTGTATCTCACTCCCTATGGGATTTCCAGGCTCCTGGGGGCTCACATTCATTCCACCCTCAATCACAGTGTGGGGCAGACAACAGATGTTTATTTGCGGGTTCAGGAAAGGCTGGATTGCAATCTCAGTGGAGTTTGAAAAGATTCTCCAGTGGGTAGGATGGATACAGGGGATGATGAATGCTCTTTGTAAGTTCTGCAAGGATTCTCGGAGGGGAGCCCAGGACTCCAGGACAGATCCCATTGGCCAGGCCTGTCCCCAGCCTCCCTGGCTCCTCTGGCCACACTGGCCCCCAGGCAGAGGGCCTGTGGGTCTGGGCCTGCTGCTTTGTTCTCAGAGTCTTTCCAGGAATACATTTCCTAGGATGTGTACTGACTTCAGGGTGGGGGCAGAGGAGGCAGAGGGCAGAAACACAG